ACCATTCTTTGGCCACCTCTGGCTGGTGACTCATCTCTTGTAGGCATTGCAATGCCTCTTGTAGCTAGTGTAGATGGGCTGAGAGAACAGAACCATGGTTTTACCATGAGAAAATTTGGGCCTCAAATAGCTGTTAGCCTGAGAAACGAGCAGTGGTGAACTTGGTTTATACCAAGATGAGGATGGTGGTGTTGGCCAGGTCTCCAAAGCAAGGTGCCACGAGATGCGGAGCTTTGGCCAGTGACTGAAGGTGAGAGGCTGTTGATGGAGGCACAGTAACTGGATGAGCTGTCAGCCTCCCTAGGAGGAAGGTGGAATGAGTTCAGCCTCTCTTCTGTTGAGCAACTGCTTTAACTGTATTCTCTTTGTTTTGGTTTGGTTTTGTTTTTGTCTCTTCGGGGAAAGAGGCTTTTTTACTTCCTCCTGTTATTTTCCTGAGGTGGCTAGTTCCCTAGCGAGCAGTGTTGACCTCTTTCTAATGGAAAATCTAACCCTGCTCCCTGGACAACCATCCTGAAGGGTCTGTGCGGACCCTAAACCCAAGGGTCTCTCTCTCTCTTCACAGGTCTTCCCCAAGAGTCATGTTGTCAGTGCACTCAAGACCATCTTTGAGAAGAACGTCATGAGCTTTGCTGGTGGCACCATGGGAGCAGTGAACGGCATGAGACCCGACGGGGTGCCCGACACCTCCAGTGTGCAGTCTGATGAGGTGTGGATTGGCGTGGTCTATGCTTTGGCTGCCACCATGATCCAGGAGGTGAGTGGTGACGATGCGCACCCCTTGGCACCTGCCATCTCCTTGCCACTCCGTGGACGGGCTGATTGGTTGTCTTCCTTCTGCTGCAGGGGATGGTGGAGGAAGGCTTCCGTACAGCAGAGGGCTGCTACCGAACGGTGTGGGAACAGCTGGGCATGGCTTTCCAGACACCAGAGGCCTACCGGGAGAAGAAAGTCTACCGCTCGTTGGCTTACATGCGGCCTCTCAGCATCTGGAGCATGCAGCTGGCCCTGGAGCGCAGAGCCGGCCAGGCACCAGCACCCCTTCAGCACCCCCAGGTCCCCATCCACCCTTGAGCCTGGTGGCACTGAGTAGGGCAGCGGGTGCACGGGGGTGGGTCTGGAAAGAGGGGGCAGGGGCCTCAGCCTGGGGACCCTTCCCTCCCCTTCTTTGATAATACTCACATTGCTGTTTTCCTTCCCTACCTCCACTACATGTCCTTCACCTCAAGGGGATTCCAGCTACTGATGCTGAGCACGAGGGGGGGACTAGAGGTGGGGGTGTCTCCTCGGAGAGGAGAGGGGTGGGATAAGGAGGTGCTGCTGGAGCCTGTGCCTCCCCTTCCCCATCACTCAGGGCTCGGGCAGCCTGCAGGACCCCCAGCCATCCTCCACCGGAGCTAACACCATGCCCAGGAGCACAGGAGACCTCCTGCAGTCAGTGGGCTGGGCTAGGTGGGAACTGGCCTGCAGGGAAAAAAAAATGAAAAATGTGTGGGTGTATGTGTGTGTGTGGGGACGTTTTGCACTGGTGCACACAGGCATGTGGACGCTGTAGTTGTCCCTCCATTGTGTGACACTGCAAACGCAGGCTGGCTCTGCTCCAGGGAGAGCCAGTGGCAAATACAATCCCCAGGGGAGCCCTGGCTCCCCAGCCTGTGACAATCAGAGCCCAAGCAGCACGTCCTGGTCTGGTACCGTGGCCCCCCTCTCCCCCCTGGCACTGGGGGCGGGCGGCGGAGCACGTTTTAGGGGATGAATCATTTTAAGTTCTTAATAAAGTTGTCCAGCTGTCAATCCTTCTTCCTCTGTGTCTTTTCTGCTGCAGTGTTTGGGGGGGGAGGGGAGGGCAAGCTGGAGGAAGGAACCCGTGTTGCTCCCCCTTTTTTTTCCTCAGCTGGGATGGAGGGCTGGGAATGCAGAGGGGAACAAGCCCTAATTCCAGGCTGGGTCTTGTGGGGTTTTGTGAAGGGGAGCAAGATGTGCATTCCCCCCCCACCCAGGAGCAACCTTCCCCTTGTTTTCCTGCCAGCAAGGTCGGGGAAGGCGAGGAACCTAGCATTCCTGCTGAAGATGCCTCTGTGGGGAGCAGCAGTGCCCCAGGACTGGCCCTTGACCAAGCAGGGCTGGGCACCTTGCTTCCTTTTCCTCGTTTTTCTGCCAGCAGACCATCTGAAGTATGCACCTGCCTGGTCTCGAAGGGGTGGGAGGCGGCCCAAGGTCTTTTTTTGCTCTAAAGCCCTGTCTTAATCTGTTTAGTGATGTCAGGGCTAGGGTGGGAAGCAGCCTGTCCTCCCCACTGTCACCTTCACCCTGCCCTGGGAGCTGGCGCAGGCAGGGCATCGCTGCGGTGGCACGGTGCTGACAGCAGCTGATAAATGGCCTTTTCTTTGCTCCCTGGCAGAGTGTTCCTGCATCCGCCTGGGCAGAGGAATAATGTTATCCGGGAAAGGGCAGGTTGTCCCGGATGTGGCCCCCACGGAGCAGCGGGGGGTGGTCTCCCATGGCAGAGGCCATGGGTGGTGGAGAGGGACTGGGATGCTCTCCCTTAGGGTCACCGTGGCAAGGCTGGGGGGGACAGGGATGCCAGGACAGCAGAGTGGCTCACCTGGGCTGCGTGCCCCCGCTTACTTCGTGACATCCCGATCCAGCTGGCAAGGGACAAAAGCAGATACCAAAGCCAGCACGACTTCTGACCTGGCTGGGGTTTTATTGCTGTGACCCATCAGCTTCATTCCTTAACCCCAAGCAGTGGGCTGCCCACAGGCTTCAAAGCTTGGGGCATTCAGTCTGTATCAAGGAATAGTTCCTCCACTTTTGACTGTTTTGCATCAATAAAACTCGTTTGTGTCTGGCTCAGTGTTCAGCAACTTCTGCGTGGGCACGGCTGCGGTCTGGGAGGACAGTCCTTGGTTACAAATATGATTTTACCTAACATTTGCCTGTACTAGTGTTTTTTGAAGCTGACTCAATCCTAGCGTGGGCAGCAAGTTTAATCACTTATTAACCCTTTCCTCGTATTGTTCATTAACACTTTCTACACCCCTGACATGCAAGGCTTTAAACCACAGCCCTGCTGATTTTTAACTTCTTCAGCACTTTCTGCTTTGGACTTCTTCCCTGCTGGCCCGTTCCCCCTTCCCCACTCCCTGCTGTGCCAGGGCTTAGGCACGGCGTGGATAATGATTGCCAGCCCCGAGCCGCTTCACTGGCTGCCCTTTGGAGGGGGCAAACCCTGCGGAGATACCCCAGCTCTTGGCTTGTTTTATTTTTGACTCGACCAAGGCTGGTCACAAATCCACCGCCTTGAGCACTGAGATGATCCTTGCACCCACAAGATACACCATGAGGCTAGGGGTTGTTATACATGGGAAAAATAAAGGTTATGGGCATATAGCACCAATAATGTTTTGTGTCATGCTAAAATAGACCTGTGGCTATAAATGGTCTGTGGGTTGCCATCAGCAAAGGTGCCAGTGTGGAGACTGTGTGTTGCCCGTCCCCATGCCCACCGGTGGCCGTGATGTCCCTGCGGGAGCTTCTTGAAGCAAGGTGATGGCAAGGGGATGATGATGGCGAGGCGGTGACGGTGAGGCACCGATGGAGAGGTGGGGGGTGGCAAGGGGATGAGGGCTGCCCCTCCTGCCCCCTGCCACCTTCCCAGCCAGACTGTGCCCATTATCACGAGCCTCGGCCACGCTCCAAGCAGCGCCTTTCAGCCTTTTGCTGAAAAACCAGCCAAAGCAAACAGCAGCTGTGTGGGAAAACATACCTTGTCTTGCAGTTAATTCCTGAGACAGAGGGAAGCAAACAGTGGGGCAGGAATTTCCCATGGGCAGGTAGCTCCCTGGCCGGAGACCTCCTGCGGGCAGGGGTATGAGAGGGATGTAAGGCTCCCGCAGAGAGCAGAGAGGGTGTGTTGAGATGCCAGCAGCAGCCATGCAATGCTCCCCAACGGGCAGTGATGAACTTCACCGTCAGAGAGAAACTGGGGCTCAAATGTGAGTTTAAAGGGAAATTAAATTTGGGAAGTATTTCTGAGGTGTCGCAAAGGGTTGCATTATCTCCATTTTTGGAAAAGGAGCATTTTCCGGTGCATGGCTCTCCATCAGCTCTTGCTGAGATGACTGGGGCAATGAAAACACTCATATTTTAGGAGACTGCCTTGAAAAATCATTGAGGAATGAGGGAGAAAATCTGGTGTGAACCAAGCCCCTTCAGCCTCCCCAGACCGCAACAACTATAATGTAAAAGCAGCTATATAAATACATACTTAAAGTTACTTAAGAATCCCTGTGTAAATACCATTTTTGTCAGTATTAAAATGTGATGTCCAAGATATTCAGGGAATGTTTGTTTTTCATAAACGAAATCATCTCCTTCCAAGAAAAGCCAGCTTGTCAAAACAGCAGAAGCCTTCGTGCCAGCCCGGGTGAGAGGAGGCCAGGAGCTTTGTAGCCTGGTCTGTGGCTACTTCAGTCCTGAGGTGGGGCGGGGAGGGGGAGGCAGGGAAGAAATCAAAGCCCTGAAATGAGCCTGGTGCTGAGTGGGTTTGCACAAGGATGCTTGGTAAGGGGGAGTGAGGTGAGGCTGTGTGCTGCAGCGGATCCTGGGGTGCATTTGGCTCCCAGGTGCACCCTGGATAACAATTGGTGCCTTGATAAGGCTCCCTGGCACCCCTGTGTGCCTTGGGCACAGCAGTGACATGGCAGAGAGGCGGCAGAAAGGACAAGAGCCCCTGAGAGGGGTTTTCCCTAGCTGAGCATCCATCCTGGCAGCTGCTGACCTGCAGGAGCCAGGGCCTCCCTGAGAGGTGCCAGGGAAACATACGAAAGGAGGGACAGCTTCAGCAGGCACTTCTGGGAATATCTACCAGCAGCTTCAGCAGGCACTTCTGGGAATATCTGCTGTCAATCTCCCTCTCCTACAGCCAGGAACTGCAAATTGGAAACACCCAGATTGCACAACGCCCTGTCCAGAGCTGCCACCGGCTGCCCCAGCAGCTATAAAAAGGTGAGGGCAGAGGCACATCGTCAGAGCCCTGCGAGGAGCACGTCCCCAGGCACCCCAGCTGTCTGCCCGCTGCAGAGATGGTGCAAGCGACTCCCTTCCTCCTGCTGCTCAGCCTGGCCCTGGTGGCTCCCGGCCTCTGCGCAAGAAAGGTAAGGGCAGGGCTGGGATGAAGGGGGCAGGGTGGTCAGGGGGGCTGCAGCTCCCGGGGGTGCCCACTCCTGCCACCCTGCCCGCACCTGGGCTGTGCTGTGACACCAACGCTGAGTCTCCTCTGCTCCAGTGTGTGCTGACCGGGCGCTGGGTCAATGACCTGGGCTCCAACATGACCATCGGGGTGATGAATGAAAACGACGAATTCACCGGCTTCTACCACACAGCCGTGAGCTCCACGACAAACAAGATTCAGAAGTCACCACTGCAGGGTTCCCAGAACAACATAAACTCGAAGAGCCAGCCCACCTTTGGCTTCACTGTCAAATGGACCTTCTCAGGTGCTTCTCCTTTCCCCGACTCCCTGCAGTGTCCCCCGAGCTCCCCTGCCCTCCCATGGGATGCTCTTGTGCCTTCCCCTGTGATGTCCTAGGTGATTCCCTACCTTCCCTAGTGTCCTTGCTGACCCTCTGTCTTTCCCTGTGGTGTCCCCAGTGCTCTCCCACCCGCTGTGGTGTCCCTGACACTCCCCCATCCCTGACGCCAGAGCTCCAGGGCTGCTCTCAGCTCCCAGTCCCGGGGCACAGAAGATGAAGCCCACTGTTCTCTCCCCATCTCCTTGTCACACCTCCCCTCTCTGACCCCTCCTGCCCGCTTTCCCCATCACCGCTGTGTCCACCACCTACAGAGGGTAGGGACAGCCCGGGTCGACT